AATCATCATGATGAATCTTTTCCTTGTGCCTTTCATCTGAGTGCTTCAAAGGGCTTTGCAAAACACTAATCGAGCTCCATCAAAGGTGGTGTGAAATTCAGGACTATTAAAGGAGCCCAGGAAAAGGAGAAAATTGCTTGGGTCCTTTTTAGCTACCTCTGATGTTAAAAGAAGCCAGAAAGCTTTTTTCTTCTTGGTTTGTACATCCATGATTCAGCTCCCGTGCCTAAGAAGGGCGTCTGAGTCAAAATGCCTCCGGGGGCTCCTCCCAGGGTGGTGAAATTTACACACCATTCCTTGTTCAAGGCTGTGCCTTAGAGTCACATTCTGGCCCTCCGTCAGATTATTTATAACTCTGTTATCTGTTTGTTTTTGTTAACCCTCATTTAACTCTAATGTGTGCCAAATAGTCAGGATAAAAGATCTCTTTGTGAAAATTCGGGTCTCTTCCATCTCTTCAACTGAGAGCTGAGAAAGCTCCAATCCTCTACTCCTCCAAAGAATCCTCCAGAAAAAAACAGGGAAGACAAGACTTAATATTCCTCAAACTTCTGTGGTAGAGGACAAGGAGATTCATTTTTTTTAATGAAAAATACTTTCAAGCTACCTAATATGTCATGAAGATGCAAGAAAAGGGCATAATTCTATTTTCTCTCTCTTTCCAGCCCTTTAAGAACATTGACTGAACCTAGCCTGATCCAAAAGGCACAGAAGTCAATAGGAGTCTTTCCACTGATGTCAGTGTATTTTGATTAGGCCCGTGCCCATTCCCCACACAATTCTAACTAGGCAGCCCGCTGCTGAGCTGCAGCAAACTCTGCTATTCCAGGAAATGACTCTTCCCAGGTCTGTCCAGGCAACTCCAGTCTCAGCAGCAACAGCCTTGTTATTCCAAAGCCAGAGTTATTCCTAGTTAAGACCAGTCAAGGTTTGCCCTAAAATGAGTCAGAATTTAAGACCGGAAGAGACCATTAGATCATCTAGTCCAACCTCCCCTGTGTATCACAGATCACCAACACTACGCAGCTCCTGCACACTAAACCCAGCAACTGAAATTAGACCTAAAGTATTACAGCCCACAGGAGACTAGACAATAATGTGATAGAGGCAGAGAATAGGAAGGATCGAGGTGCACCAGTGCCCAAGGCCCCTGTAACAGCAGGGCAATGAGTGAGATATACTCAGATAATGCTGACAAGTGAACCACCCACATGCTGCAGAGAAGGATGAAAAAAAAAACCCACGCTCACTGCCAAGCTGATCTGGGGGCTCCTTCCCAGCCCCACCTATGGCCATCAGTTAGCCCCTGCACATGTGAGCAGGGACCAGCCAGCCCATCACCTCAGTGCCACCCCAGAGCCCCGGCCAACCCCATCCTATATCCCACTTCCAGCTGTGGCCATCCCTGATGCTTCAGAGGAAGGACATAAAAATCCCTCACAGAAAACATTTGGGGGGTAAGGGGCAGAGAATCTCTTCCTGACCCCTGCTGGTGGCCAGCTGAAACTTTGAAGCATGAGCTTTAGGAACATAAGTGAGTCCCAGCCCGGCCCCCCACCATCACAAGCAACTCCATCAGGCAACTGCACTCATACATTTTTCCAGCTCTCAATTAGGTTGTTTGCCTCCACAACTCCTACTGGGAGGGTGTTCCAGAACCTCACCCACTGTGCAGATACTGAATCTTGACAATTACTTAACGCAAATTATTCTAATATATGTCCAATATCAAGAGCATTCCTTGTATGTATACACACACACACACTCTTGGCTATTTGCAAACAAAACTCTAACAAAAAGAGGAAAAACTGTATTAAAGCCCCATCAAGCAGGTAGTTAAAGCTAGGAGAGGTCATGCTGGTGACATTCAAAACCAATTAGTCATTACTGATATCATCAGTATCAGTCCAGGGATGTTTGTCTGACAAATTAGTTTTATTATATGCCCGAAACAGGAACCAACATACATTGGCAAAATGGTCAATCAAACCGCTGTACCTACCTGTTTGAGTTTACAATGCAATTAAAAATACATTTCAGCCAGAATATCAATGCCATTAATAAATGTTACTCTCATTTCCATCTTTACCTAATTTAGTGCACCTGATAAGGGCTGAATATTTATAGGGAATGCAGGCAACGATGGATTAGTGGCACATCGCGGGTGTGAGAGAGTGAAGAAGCCCTCCGTGAACATAGCACCGTAAGTATTGAAAATCTATGCTGACATTTGTTAATGGTGCTGAATGGGATGTGAACTAGATAGAGGGGCACATTTCTCATGAATCTCAGTGTTTTCTCTTTCTTTGCAATGTAGAATATGGTTATCCAGTGGCCCTAGCTCATGATTTTTATTCCCCCTGGTTATAGTAAGAGAATAATGGGTCAGCTGTTAAAAATTAATGTTAGGTAAATGGAAATTCTTCATGTGGCAGGGCAAGAGCAAGGCAGTGAGTCAATTCCAAAAATCAGGGGTTTAGAGAGGGCTGAATAATTTTCTGACCAATAGCAAGATTTGTTTGCATGCGAAGAGGCTAATGACATCTGATCCTTGTTTGTCAACTTCTCACCAGTCATCTTTGTGCCTTCTTCCATGGGGCTCCCTGTGCAGAGTACAACCTCCCAGAACTCATCTGCAAGGCCCCTCCCCTCTGCACATGCTGTGTTGCTTATGGTGAATCTAGTTAGTTTGCATATATGTTGCATGCAAATTGTCCATTGTTCCTGTTCCGTTTGGTTCTCTCTCCTTCTCTCTCCTTGGATAGTAAACTCCTCAGAGGAATTGCAGGGGAACCATATTCTGTCAGAATACGTAGTTCTGTCAAAATTGAAAACTAGGTTGATTTAGCTGGAATTTTGTTTCAGAAGAAAAATGGGGCAAAAGTTCCAACAATGTCCCATTTTGACATTTTCAGAACAATACATTTTGATTTTTTGTTTTGAAGGGACTTTTTGGTTTGAATTTTTTTTAATTTTGTATTATCAGTTTCCTTCAGAAACAATTTCAAAAATGTTTGGTTTTCATTCTGATTCGGAACAAAGCCAAATTTCAAAATCCTTTGTGAAACAGAACTTCTGTCCTCCTCACAGCTCTCCTAGCAAACTGGATGCTCCCTTAAGTAATATCTTTCATACTGTCTGCTCAGATTCTGATATGAGCATCCAAGCATGAGGACCCTGAATTCTGCAGAAGTATTCTGCTGTTAGCTCTCACACACACAGATATGCACTGAGGGTTTTGAACCCAAGACATTTGGGAGAAAATTATGTGTGTTATTTTGAAATTTAGGATCTATTTCTTTGCAAGCAGAAAACCATGATATCTTTGATCTGGATAGTGATTTAATTTATCTATCCAATGGCACCACAGTACCTGAGCACATCACAATCTTTATTTTTCCTCAGCTCACCTCTGTGAGGTAGAGAAGTATTATTTGCATTTTACGGATGAGAACAGCGGCACAGAGAGGCGAAGTAATTTGCCCAGGTTCACATCAAGAAATCAGTGATGGAGCAGGGACTAGACTCCAGGTTTCCCAAGCCCTAACCGCTTGACCATCCTTCCTTTCTAAACACCATTGATGAGCAATGTAAAGTCTAGATTAGTGCATGTGTCTACTTCCTTTTTTATAAACACTTATAACAAGGTACAGAAAGAGACTGGGGAACGTTTCATGGGTTCTATGTGAAAGTCCCACGTAACGGTGAGATATGGATATAATTAATAGAAAGTGTGCCATCTACTGGCATATAAGAACACATGGCACCATTCGCAAATGACTAAGTTCAATAAAGTTGTGAAATCACCTGCAGTGCATAACGAGTACAGCTCAGGATGGCGACAGCCGGAGAAGCAGGCTGTAGAAAATAAGTATACACAAGGGGAATGGGCCACTGCTTATATATGAGAGAGACATTCCCATCCATGAGATGTGCAGTAAGCTAAAGGAATTTGTGCTCATGGCATGGGCTTCGGAAAGGAGCTGTTTGGGTGTCTGCTGGTTCAGGGGTGATCCTTCTAACTGGAATTTAGTGAAGTGGAGGTATTCTTTCTGTGGGATTCTGGGGAACAGGGAGGCCAGTACATATCTGGCCAGCTTAGACAGAGCTCACTGAAAGGAACCTCTCATGCATTAAGCACTCACTGCAGGCTGCCACTGTCTACTTCCTCCTTCTCCATTCCATCAGCATGGAGTAGAACATGCTTCTCTTCCCATACTTTCCTATGATCTTGCCTTCTCTGAGGGATTTGTCCTTATTTATGCTATGGCTACACCCCAATGTCCATAAATCATCTCATGCTCCAACTGCAGGTGATCATCTTTCAGGGTTTTAAAAAAAATTAAACAATAATATATAAACATCTGCCTGAAGATTTTCCTTGAAGGTGCAGATGTTGAGACTGGCTACTCACCCCTTTCTAGTGTCAAGTGGATGCTTGCACATGGCTATGAGCACTGGCAAGCCCCCAGCTTGTGCGGATGAATTATAGTGTTGCATATACTTTTTTGCCTGACAGTTTGAAATATTAGACTTGGATTTCCTATAGGTATTTTGACAGCTGAATGTGTTCAGTGGTGGTGAATTTTTTTTTTTTAATCCTCCCATTTCTAAATATAAATTCATCCCTGGAGTTTTGACTTAGATCCAGTTACAACAGAGTGGGATTTGCTCCATTGTGTTATGCCCCAGATGTATTACCAGTCTAGTCATTCTATATCGCACTGAATCCCAACACTAAAACATCCAAACTGGTTTCACTGGGGCATACAGAATACAAACAGCTTGTAATTTACTGGCTGGGCAAATTATTTGGGTCCTTTACGTTTCACAGAATCTGTCTCTGTTGGCAAGAACTGCCTTATGTCATTACAATGGTGTTATTAACGTAGCAATACAGCAATATCAGGTGCAGTGCAACCAGTAAATTGTTCCAAACAAATAACAGGGTCATTCATTTTAGTGCTCACAAAACCTAGTGCTTCATTTCAGGAGACATCATGGCCTCCTTGCTGACTGGACTCTGGCAGCTAGTTATTTCTGTGGTTGTCCTGTCTCAGCTCTCAGCAACGCTTCCTGCTCTGGAGAGGTAAGAATCCTTTTGGGACTCCATTCCCCTTCTTCTTTCCATGCCTTTCTGTTCTAAGGATCCAGCAGCTAGAAAACTAAGGTCTTGTCTACATACAGAAGTTGCAACTGTTTGTTTTTTTAACTGATTTGGTTAAACCAGTGCAAGTTTTTGTACAAACACTCTTATTTTGGCAGTCAGAACAGAATAAGCTAAACTGAAATGACCCATTCACTCTTCAACCAATTTAAGTGCCTACACACAAGTTTGCATCAGTGTAACTAAATTAGGGCTTGTCTACATAGCGAATTCATGGGGAAATTAGTACAAAATAGCTAGGGTATTAATTTAAAGCACAATAGCTATTCTGCGCTCGCTCCCTGTGTGCATACTCTTATTCCACGCTGAGTGCCTTTGTATAGATTAGTTTAGTTTAGTCCAACCAACTGCTGACAAAACATGGGTAGTGCCAGGCCCTCAGCCGGGGTAAATCAATGTGACTCCACTGAAGTAGAGCCCCTGAGGGTCTTACCCTACAGCCCCTGAGGGGTGATAGTATGTGCACACTGGACATTTCTTTACAATTAAACATCCATTTAACTGAGGTGTGTTTTTTGTTTTGAAGAAGTTCTTTGCTACACCAAGTACCATTATCTGATTTACATAATGCCAAAGCATGCCAGGTACTTCATTAGACTAGTAGGCATAGAGATCCTTGCCCCAAAGAGTCACTCCAGTGGCCCAATCTTGAGAATCCCATCTCTCTCAGGCATAGGTGCTGGAACTAGGGGTGCTGCAGCACCCCCTGACTTGAAGAGGTTTCCATTATATACAGGGCTTACAGTTTGGTTCAGTAGCTCTCAGCACCCCCACTATAAAAATTGTTCCAGCATCCCTGCTCTCAGGTACTTATATGTACTCTATTACCCTACCACCTCAGAGTCTTTGGTGTATTCCTCCTCACAGCACCCCTGTGGAGATAGGACAGTACCTTCCCCATTTTACAGATGGAGAACTACAGCACAGAAAGGCTAAGCGACTCACCCAACATCACACAGGAAGCCTTGAGGGTGTTTGTCCCTCCTTTTTATAATTTCAGTCCCCCTCTTGAAAAACATTCCCAGCTGAGACCCAGGCCACAAACAGTCTGTGAGGAAGGATATTCCCTGTTGGTTTTTAAATCACCTGTTTGAACTTCCTTTGTTTTCCCTCCCTGCTTGATGACTCTGTTTACTGCTTAAATGGAAATCCAGGCAAGCACACATTCCTTTGTTTAGGACAGACCTGACTTCTGCCTGGGCAGTGCTGTGGGGTTTGGAACATGTGTTAATAACGTCATACAGGGGGATTTATAACTTCACACACAATGTTGCCACACTCATTTTACCAGGACAACTGACCAGCAGATTATGAGTTTTCAAATGATACCTCACAAGGCATACTTTGTAGAAAGATTACTACACTAGTGTGTAGGGTGTGAACACAGGGGTGTATTCCATCACACATGATGATGGGCCGGCTCTTCTAAATCTAGCTAGAAAGGAACATAAGACATTTTTATTTTCTAATTAGTTTAAAATATATTTAAATCTTTAAATATTTGCTCCTTTTATGTTTTGAACCTTTGCCTTTTTACCCTCCTTCCCCCACCCCTACTTGGAACGCTCCCGTTTCCCATTGTGGGCCAAGGTTTCTATTAATGGCTAGCTATGGTCCTGCCTCCCAGCTTCCCCCTCTCCCAAAGGGATGGTTTTAAACACCCACCCCATCCAAAGCATGGCATTGCGCCCATTTTTGGTTTTCTGTTCTAAACTCCCAGGGCTCGGAGACATGCCGATGGGGTATTTAACAGTGAACTCAGCAAGATGAATGAAAATGCCTATGTGCAGAAGTTAGTCAAATCTCTCGTGGGCCTCAATCAAAGGTAAAAAATACTGGTTCTTCCCTGCTTCGTTCTGTTGTGACCTCTGAACTCCAAAGTGTAAAAAGATCAGGATGAGCCTCAAAAAAAGAGACTATAGATTGGGTCTAGAGAGCAAGCCAGTCAAATACTAGCAAGCAAACTGCCTGGCCTTCTCTGGAGCCTGATTCCAAATCTGGGGCCAGATCCTCAGGTGCACCTTGGGTTCCTGAACCCTCCATCCCGACAGCACCCAGAAGCCAGCTCAGCTGCAAAGCTAAAGCCATCTCAGGGCTGCTCTAACTGGCACACACTGGAATGGCCCCCCCAAGGGGCTCTTAATGGTTCATTACTTCCAACAAGAGGGGGGCTAGGAGCGAGTGGCATAAAGCCAGCTGAGCCACAGGTGATTACCTTCCACACGGGAATCCCCAACTGCTGCTTCAGGGCAGCTTCAAATTCTCTAGATGAAATCTTTGGTAGCCAGAGCAGCCCAAAGGGGAGCCAGCATGGGGCAGAATCCAGCCCTAGTGCTTCAGGGACAAATCCTGCCTTGCATGCAACAAGGTCTGACTCTAGAGAGCTCATTCATCAGCCCTGCAGAGCTCACTCAGGCGTAGCTCCCTCTGAACGCACTGGGAGGGAGTTTTGCCTGAGGACGGCTGGAATAAGGACATCCCCTTTCCCCTTGGGTGTCTATGCCAACGGAGGCGTGGTGTGTCGCTGTACACTTACAATTCCAAGCCTGAGGTAACAAGGGAAAAAGCAAAGACAGTCTGCTGCCTTCGCCTCTTCATCGCATGTAAGACTAAGGGGCTACATCATCACTCACCCAATGTGCCTGCACACCTGGGGGGGAAAGGTTATCGCTTAGAAGGGTTTCTTACCCTGTATGTTCCTTGGGGCAGGGACCTTTTTATTTTTGCTCTGTCTGGGCAGTGCCTAGCACAATGGGGTCTCGGTCCATGACGAGGGCTCCCCCATGGGCTGAGCTGAGCTGGTGTGAAGGAGGAAGGGAACTGCTCTAATGGTGTAGTCCGGTAGCAGGCGGCTTCCTCCCTGGAGCAAGTCTGAGAGTCGCAATTCCCTCCCTGGTGTGCTCCTGGGCCAGCACAGCTGCGCACGGCCACTTACCCAGGGCAGGTGGTAAAGTGACGATCTAGCCCAAGGTTTGTACCTTTATACAGATGCCAACATTTCAAAGCTATCGTTAAGGGACAGGGGGAAGCGACACACCATTTAACTCCCTTGAAATTCATGCAACTAGATGATGTTTTTGCCAGGCCGGTGGCGGGGGTGGCGGGTTGTGGGGAAGGAAACAGCACCGTTATTTAAAAAAAAAAAAATCATCCTTTCTAAATATGAACAGCTGGCTTGATCATAGGTCGTCTAGAGTTAGCCATATGCCAGTCTAGAACTGTTCCTTTTCAGTTACCTACGTCAGTGCATAATTAATACACACAAGAGAGGCAGCTTGTCTCTCCTTTAAGCTCTGATCCTGTGGGTCAATCCCAATTAGGGTGACCAGACAGCAAATGTGAAAAATCGGGACAGGCGGTGGGGGGTAATAGGAGCCTATATAAGAAAAAGACCCAAAAATCGGGATTGTCCCTATAAAATTGGGACATCTGGTCACCCTAATCCCAATACACAGTGTTGGGAGCAGGAGCCTATCTAAGCAGGAAAGGCCCAGATGTGCAGCAATTACAGATGTAATCCAAGTCCCTTAGAACAGAGAGAGCAGCCTCAGGGCAGGCACGTTTATTTTCTCTCTTTCCCGAAGCGCAGGTACCAGAGGCACTCTGATGGCATGTTCACCAGCGAACTCAGCAAGATGAGAGGAAACGCTCAGGTTCAGAAACTAATCAAGTCTCTGGTGGGCTACAAGCGCAGGTAACAAATACATATACTGGGAAAGGAAAGTGACTTATTGGCAATTCAACCTGTCACAGGCGTCAGCTTACAGCTAGAAAACAGGGACCCAGAAAACAGAGTGAAGGTGCCCATCCTCCAGGGAGTGAGAGCAGTGTGTACTTCCCGGACTTCTGAAAGCTTCAGACACCAGAGCTTGCTCTGTATTGTTCCCTGCCCACTCACTACTACTGCTGAGCCTTCCTTGACTGCCTGTGTCTGATGTACAGTCACAAGCATGTAAACACCTCTCTGCAACATGACCCTGCCCACTTGTGTGTTATTACAGGCAAAGTTGGTAGAATCACCTATTAAGGTTGCCCAACACATCTCATCATAAGACTCGTGTGCAGTCACAAGAGAGAGATTTTTGTCCTGAAGAGCTTACAGTCTAAATAAGCCAGGCAGATACAGGGTGGGTGGGCAAACAGAGGTGAAATGACTTGCCCAAGGTCACATAGTAGGTCTGTAGCAGAGCTGGGAACAGAACAGAGGTCTCCCAAGTACCCGTCCAATGCCCTTTCCATTGCCCCACCTGTCAAGTCTTGCCTTTTATATCAATTTTCATCTACAGAGGGCAGAGACACTTTTTCTATCAACTGAGGTGTTGAGCTACCGAGCTCCCCCTGAAGTCAGTCAGGTCATGTGTGTCCATGCAATACCTAGTGCAATGGGCCCCAATCTAAGTAAGGCCTCTAGGCTCTTAGTACAATACAATCCACCCCTGCCCCGTCCCTGGGCTCTAGCAAATAACTAGAGCACAAAGATCAATGGAAGCATTAAGGCCTAATTCAGTCCTGGCCCTTTCCTCAAGGAAAGAGCCTCCTCAGATAACAAAATAGTTCCTTCCCAGGTGCCATTTGATCATCTAGTCTGACCTCCTGTATAGCACAGCTCATGAAATTCCACCCAAATACCCCTCCATTGAGCCCAGTGACTTTCATTTCCTGTAATGCGTTGATTTGACTAAACTGTGGTGTGCCACAGGCAAAGAACAGGGGAGACTGAGGTGCACCATTATCTGAGGCCCCTGCAATGGCAGGGAATTGATTGGGTGAGATGTGCCCACATGATCCCATCATGTGACCCATACCCACGCTGCAGAGGAAGAGAGGCAATATTGAGAAGCAATGTTATCCTTCAAACACTTGCCTTGACTTCCAGCAGTGCAGAACACCTGCAGCTCCCACTAAACTCCTTGGGATTTGCTGGATCTGACCCCTGGTTAAAAATCAGGTTAATCTCGGTAAAGTCTGAGCTGAATCAACATATTGGCTCATTGCTAAACGGTTCCATAATTTACTGGCGCAGACCATTACCGGTGATTTTTAGGGCACCCGAACAAACCAATTTGAATTAAAATTTGTTGCCTGAGTTGAGCAGGATACATGTTTATCTTAGCTTGTTACAAAGATAACATTCAGCACAACGATTGAGCTGAGTTTTGGCATGCTTTATGCTTTTTTACAGCAAGGGAGATTTAGGTTGGATATTAGGAAAAAATTTCTCACTAGTTTTTTGTCACTTTTTCACAAGGATAATTAAGCACTGGAACAGGTTACCAAGGGAGGTTGTGGAATCCCCATCACTGGAGGTCTTTAAAGAACAGGTTAGACAAAACACCTGTCAGGGATGGTCTAGGTTTACTTGGTCCTGCCTTAGTGTGGGGAGGGTGTGGGTGGAACTAGATGACCACTTGAGGTCCCTTCCAGCCCTATATTTCTATGTAGCCATTCTCACATAAAAGTCAGCACCTCAGCTGATATAAACCTGACTTCAGTGGAGCTCTGCCAATATACACCAGCTGAGGATCATTGTCTTTAAGAACTGGTACGACAGCAAATGAAGGAGGAATAGTGCAAGAACTAAGTAGGTAAGTAATGAGCAGACTGAAGAATAAGCTTTGGCTTTGTATATTTGTATTCTTGTGTACTAGTGTTCCCGAATCATCTGAACTGGAGGGGCAGGTGGAAAACTCTGGCTTTATTGATCATGCTGAAAATGACTTGGGCTCGAAAGAGAAGCTCACTAAACTAAAGGCTTTCCTACACCACGTACAGAATCTCAGAGGAAGGTAAGGGGAAAACTTAGTATTTTTTCCTTACTTTGCTGTACCTTTTTGATACTCCAAAGCCTCAGGCTTGGTCTCTCCACTAAGTAATCCCCATGGACCATACCTGGTCAAGGGAAGGAAAAGGAAAGGAACTCCCACTGGCAGGGCTACTGAGGGACAGAGCAAGCCATCCCTTGGTGGTCTTTTCTCAGGGCATCACTATTTCCCCATCTTTTCTCCCCTGTTCACCCCAGTTTGTGACCATTGACCCATATAGTAACTCTAGCCATGTAAGGATACTGTGCATCTTTCTCCAGAGCTAACATCTACAATGGATTAGAAGGACAGTTTATAAAGAGAAGTTGCAAGATTGAGGCCACTGTTTCCCTGTCTTATCGTGCCTGTTGTGTCAGATGAGGTTATGATAATCCTGGATTTCACTCCCATATCTCAAATTTCATATTTACGTAAACGTGTCCTGTATATTAGGGGACAGATAAGCCACCCAAAACCAACTCTAACAGCCTCTCTCTGCTGCCATTTCTGTTCCCCAGCTGAGGTGTAGCTAGAGACACTGTCTAGTTCATTGACCCCTAAAGTGCACCTATACGTACCCGAAGTAGATGTGATAGTTTGTACAATACAATCATTAGCATAGCAGGATTCAGCTATCTAACTATAGCCTGTCCTCTGCTAGTGTGCAAGGGAAAGATGGTCATGGAAGGAAAAATCATTCCTCTTGCTTCAATACTACAAATGAGGCAGAATCCTTCCACACTACACAAGAATGCACTGGGAGGAATGCTGGCTTAATTGTTGAGCATATCCAGCCCCCTACTCCAGCTGGCTAGTACATATACTGCCCTCAGCAGCCAGGAAGGAGATCAGAGCACAATTTGCCCCCATTCAGAGGATCAGCAAAGTGGATTTCTGTTGGAGAGGAAGCATCTATCGGCATTGCTGTTTGTCTTTGCTGTATTGGCTTCCTCTCCCTAGAACAGAACTGAGCTCCCAGAATAGCAGCAGCAAGTTATTTAAAGGGCCAAAATTTTTTGCCCCAGAAAATTAATATAATTTTCAATGGCACATGTGCCTTCACCTATGTCACCACTACAATAAGCCTTCACACCCAGCTGCAGCACAACCCATCAATAATCAGGCAGGGAAGTATGTGGGAGGTCAGTTTGATATGTCATCAGAAGTCACTGCTTCTACACATCACAACTGCAGCCTAGCAGGAGGTGGCAAGGCAACCGGTGCCAATCTGTGAACACAATGGAGTTAGCCCCTGTAATGCCATGCTTACTTGCAGTATATTATTCAGCCACTAAATGTCTCTGTGTGCTATATAGCGTTCCAGGCAGCATGCAGTCCTTGCTAAATAAGGGAGCCAAAACTGGGACTCAAGCTGTATGGGAACTTGTTTTGTTTGTGTCAGTTTTTGTAGCTATTTTCTTTACTAAACTTCTCTGGTTTAAGGAACACTAGGGTGCCATATATCATGACATCTTTTGGAAACATAGAAGGAAACAGGCTGTCACTGAATATTAAGATACAAGAGAATCAGTGTAACCTTCAGGAACTGGCTTTACTCAAGATGTCAGATCACATCTTGTTCACAGCAGCTCAGCTTTTGCTTGAAAAACATTCCGCACAAGCAGGTGGCATGGGTGACATTAACAATATTCTTCCCCCCTCCTCCAAATCAGTGATGAGGTGGACGGCTCTGAAGGATTAATCCATACAGATATACCAAGGACACATGAGACCGGCAGCTCTTACGATGACTTTTGCTTCATGTGGTTATACCAGAGCTTTCTGAATGATAGGTATGTAGGGTATGTTTCTACTTTATCAGCAAGAATAATCACGGTACTTCTATGGCCTTCATTATCATAGCATCTGAGTGGCTCCAGAGCCGCATGTGGCTCTTCAGAGGTTAATACGCGGCTCCTTGCATAGACGCTGACTCCAGGGCTGGAGCTACAGATGCTAACTTTCCAATGTGCAGGGGGGTGCTCACTGCTCAACCCCCTGCTCTGCCCCAGGCCCTGCCCCCACTCCACCCCTTCCCCCAAGGCCCCTGCTCTTTCCCCCAAGCCTGCCATGCCCTCGCTCATCCCCCCTCTCCTCTCCCCCACAGAGGCTCCTGCGCACTGTGAAACAGCTGATTGTGGCGGGTGGGAGGCAAGGGGAGGGAAGGGGAAGTGTTGATTGGCAGGACTGCCAGCGGGCAGGAGGGGAGCTGATGTATTACTGTGGTTCTTTGGCAATGTACATTGGTAAATTCTGTCCTTCTCAGGTTCAGGTTGGCCACTCCTGGGCTAAAGTATTTACTTGAACAGGAACTTGAACCCTGGCAAAGGCTGATGTTCTGTCAACGGGCTAGCCAGGCTCACGTGTCTAATTTTATTACACTTCTCTTTTCCTTCCATTGGCTTCAATTGAACGATTCACATGAGCAAAGCTGTGCATGTGTTTAGCATGGGATTTTCAAAAGCACCTATGTGATTTAGGAGTACAAATCCTATTGACTACATGACATAGGACCGCATTTACAGAGTTATTTGGGCATTTAAAGATGCAGATAGGTGCCTAGGCACCTCAGTCATTCTCAAAGCATGGTAGATGCCTAAGGCCTGTTGATTTCAGTTATGAGTTAGGCTTAGCCGCTTTTCAAAATCCCACTGGGAGCCTCTCGGCATCTTTAGGCACCTAAATACCTTTGAAATCAGGCTCTAAGTCACTTTGGAAAATCCTACCCTTATTGGCTTTGCAGAACTGGGTTTTTAGCTCATAGCTTCAACACAAGGGGAAAAATGCACAGCTGAGCTGACAAGTTCTGTGCCAATGGACTCAAGGGGTGGTCATTAAGGTTTGTAGTGTTTTGAAATAATGGGGGTTAACTATAATGCAACTGAGGCCGATTCCTTAGGTCTAATGTTATAAATGTGATCCGGTGATAGGATCTCTATTAAATTCTCATAGAGGCAATGGTTAGCCTCACAAGACAATGTACGAGAGAGGAAAATGAACTGGATTCTGTACATGCTAGATGGTGACATCTCATGCCTGGGTACTATAGGTCACTCATTTTAGACTCAAAGTTGAGGCTTGAGCCTGCAAATACTGATCAAGGGTTCTGCTCACATGAATCCCAATGGGACTATTACCACAAGGCAGCATTCACAGGGTCACAGCCTGAACTTTACACAGAACCTTGGTGCACCTCACTATTATCATCAGTGACATTTAACACTAAAGCTGCTGGGACTGAGTCTCAGGTGTGTGAATCAAAATAGCTCAACTGCCCTCCATGGACTTACAGCAGCTGAGGATCTGATCCAGAGAAAGTTTTAAACACATTTTTAACTAAATCAAACCTGCATCATTCCTCATCTCCTGGAATGTTTTATTGTTGCTTTGGCTCTTATTTTGGGTCTGTCACAAATTTTTACATCCAGTGTCATCCTGCCAAGGCCTGCATGTATGAGAGGTTGTTTGCATAGGGATCAGGGACAATTCATAGCTGAAACACAAGTCAGCATGTAGCTAGCACCATAGAACTGCACTTAAATTCTATGCAATTCTTCAGGATAATTCTGATGTTATGCTTCTGGAGATATAAGCGCATACAACACTCAGTTTCACCTTCTGACACTTACCTATCTTTGAGATAGATGGCTAAAAAAAAAACCCCTGTATGAGGTAGTTATTAAAACTAAATAATATGGGGGGAAATAAAATATTTCTCTGATTGTAGAGAGGCTGGATCTAACATTCTGGACCAAGCCATCTTCTACTTCTTGTAGAAAAGTCTAACTATTTTAACTCAATTTCTATACCATCTTTATTTAGTTTTTCTGAATTTGAAATATTCTGAGGGTACGTCTACACTACCCG